TGCCCTGGAGCAGGTACTACCCAGCTAGTGGCAAAATAGTTGTATGTAACTATGACACAAGAGCCACGTAATGTGTTATTGGAAGGACAGGCAGTACACATTTAACTCACTACACATTTCTCAAGCCTTGAGTCACTGAAACAACCACACAACCATCTGACTATGCATTTGTATTCAACATTAAATGACTCTTCACCAGACAGTGTGCAGTAGAAGTCCTGTATTAACATGTTAAGACCTTGATTTCACAAAGTTAGAAGTTTTTCCTGCCAGTTTTCTACACACCTCCATTACCAGTCTGATGTAGGAGAGGCAGTGAAGCAGTATCTCTGTTACTTCTAATTAGCAAAGTTAGTTATAATTCCCTTTCTGTGTATTTATGCACAACGTGTAACTTTTCATCTGTAATTACAGAATTGCTGAATTGTAGGGCTGGAGGGGACCTCTGGAGATCTCATAGTACAACTCCTGCTAAAGCAGGTTCCCTAGAGTAGGTAAACAGATAATTATCATCTATCAGAAGGGATACTTAATTAAAACTTTTTCATATAACCAATGTATCTCAGTACATACTGGATGCAGTCTGCCCAGGGGGCTCAGGCCACCTATGATCAGGTGAACTTGTCAACATGCAGATTCAGTTTACAAGCTCAAAGCCATAATTTCTCCACTGTCTGCTTTACTACGCAGCTGCACAACAATCCCATTCATCCTAAATAAGCCTATAATTAAAAGAAATTTTAAAGTAAAGCTTAAAAAGTAGCAGAACTTGCTCCTTTTCCATTCATTTGACATATGACATTTGGCTTTAAGCAGAAAAAGCAAAAATCTGCAACCAACCCTCACCCATCCAGTAGGTCTCAAGACAGAAAGTTGTTTTCAGCCATCTGCTGAAATGGTTTGACACTAGAAAGTAGATCCACATGTTTGCATATTCCAAAATCTTGTTTGAAAGAAGCCAGGAGACTGCCTACAGCACAGGCTTCTACAACAGCACCTCCCCTTCTTCAGTGCCTGGAGCATCTCAGCTCTGCACTTCTCTAAGCACTGAGCACAGCTGAGCCAAGCACTGAAACTTTCCCGAGAAGGACTGCAATACAAATTACAGCTGAGATAGCACCTTTGTTTCCAAGGGAGCACGTGTACACTGGAACACCTTGCTGAGTTGGGCTCCATCTGCCTTCTCACCCACGCTGCCAAAGCTGCAGGAAGAGGTAAACAGAAATCACAAACAGCTTTCAGATGTCGGATGTGCTCAGAAGTCTGCCACAGGCTGAAGTGAACTCTGTGAAGAACATTAAGATTACAGAGGAACTTATAAATATATCCCACCTCTTACGTGCCCTCTTCCATCCCAAACATTTTAGTTACAATACTCAGGTCATCACTGACCATCTCACATGAGCAACAGTCAATACTGAAAAATGAAAAGCAATAGAAAAAAAAAAAAAAAAAGTAATGGACAGAGCAGACTTCAAAATGATACATTTATTAAAACTAAACAAAGTTCACAAGCTCCAATTAACTTAAAAATTATATATTGCATTATGGCAAACACAGGACCAGTATGCTCAGAGCGCAGATAATTTTTAACATGGGCTGAAATTCTTAAACCTAAAAGTAAACTTTTGAATACATACGAAGAACAGAATATTGGATCATTCTTTTAATTAAATATACCCAATAATTTCATATAAACAATTTGAAAGGATTCAAATACATGCTGAAGAAGTTCAAATGATGAGCAAGATATGCAGATAAAAAGTTCAAGAAGTATTTTGGAGTTGTATAAAAGGTACAGCTTCTTCCCCCAGAGCCTATAGTGCAATACACCATCTTGTCAAGAGAGCATTCTCAATCTGCACGCAGTCCTGCTGACAAACCACCTATTAAATTGGTTTTCTGGTACTTAATTTGCAGTCAGACTTACTCAAATCTCAGTAAAAACCATCTTTTGTGATAAGCTGGAAATAAACACTTCAATAAAATAGGTCCTATAACCTGTTTTGATGGGGAAGAAATCATACTTTACTTCCCTCCTGCTGCTATTTTAAGCTTTCCATATTATTTTTAAATTATTTTTTAGTTTCCCCCTTTGGATAGATTATAATCAAACTTTGACCCCACACGAATCTCAAACAACTCCAACAATGGTTTTACTGATAACCCAACTCTGAGCTTACAGGCTTTGCCCATGTAAGTCACAACATCACACAAATCTCATACATCTTTTAATTATTAAAACAAATATTTACATCTCCTGACTAAATATTCATTCAGGAATAAGTTCTGACCAGTTTCTGTACACTTGGAAGTCATCCTTTCTCTGAAAGTACTGTGGCTTCTGGGTTTTTGGTCAACACGAAAGACAAAGTAGGTTACCTGAAGCCAGTCCACAAGCCACTGACCTGCTCACATTGCCTGACTCACCCCTACAGAGCTGTTTGTTAAGGTTCAAAACCAGGTAAGCATCAGTCACCAAGGGCTTCCTAAGCTTTTTAAGCTTGCAAAAGCCTTGATGTCATTGGGTTTGCCTACTTGCAACATCAGAGCATGAGAAGAGAGATTTCCTCGCTATGCCTCACTATGGTTGATGTGCACATCACTTCAACTCTTTAGGTAACAGGTGAAAACTGACATTAGTTTCTGAAAACAAAGCATTTAAATGGATATTCTGTGAACAATTAAAATTTCACAGTATGGCAAATTTCAAATCAGTCCAAAAGCTAAAAATGTTCAATGAGCATACCACAATTATTTCAGTCTGTACATTCTTTATAAAAGAATTGGCTACTTATGGCTCCCTCCTTATTTAATCCACAGAAAATTTAAGTGAACAGCAAACACAAGACAAGACAAGCAACAATGTCTCCTAAACTCCTGAACACTACATTCAGATAACATAATGTCAGGTGAATTAAAGCTGCATGAAACTTAAATCCGTAAAGCTTTGAAAACAGCTTGTTCTGCTACTTCCCTGTATAAACTTGTGTGCATTCAAGTCCACACCATTTTTCAGCTTTTGCTACCACATGAAAACTAGCAGACCATTCTAGTTAGAATAACTTGATGACATTTCAGGAATGTTAAGGAAGATTGTTACATGCTGCTTGCAAATGGAAAATATGCAAATGGAAAATTTAGCGTACTTCAAAGTTTATTAATTCCAATCTGTTAACTTATAGAATTTAGAAGTTTTAAAATTGTATTGTGACATTAGTTTTCTTCATGGATTTTCAGCTATGAAAAATTGCACCTAGTGAAACCCAATCTTCAAAATTCACAAACTAACTTTCATGTTGAAAACTCCAAATCCCATTTTATGAGAATAACTTGTTTGTTTAGGGGTACATTAATTGAAAAGCTTGTATCAGATCGAAATATCAGCTTTGTCAAAGTAATTTTACACAAAATAACGATGTTTCAAGGGATGGAACACCTCCCCTAAGAGACAACTGAGTGAGCTGGGACTCTTCAGCTTGGAAAGGCTCCGGGAACGTCTGATAGCAGCACTTACATTAGCTTAATGAGAGCAGTAAGAAGGGGACAGACACTTTAGTGGGGTCTGTTGTGACAGGACAAGGGGAAATGGCTTCAAACTACAAGAGGGGAGATTTAGATTGAAGAAAACGTGGTGATTTGTTGGGGTTTTGTTTGTTTGTTTTTCCACAAGGGTAGTGAAGCACTGGCAAAGGCTGCTCAGAGAAATAGTGGATAGCCCATCCCCAGAGACACTCAAGAACAGGCTGGACGGGGCTCTGAGCACCTGGTCAAGCTGTAGCTGTCTCTTATCAGTGTAGAGGAGTTGGATAAGACAGCCTTTAAAGGTCCCTTCCAACTGAAACAATTCTATGATTCTATAATTACAGTAATTCTCAGGAAGATCAGTCAGATCACTTACTGTAAGCAACCTCCCAGAATGTACAGAATATTAATCTAAGACATATTTAAACACTGACCCTGCTTTCTAGAGTTGTATTATACATACTACTGTACATCCTGTTTTGGAAACAACTAAATACAATGGTCCATTATCTCCAAGAAGGCCACGGTGCCCATGGAGCAGATGGAGTTGCTACTGCCTTGTCCAAACAGACCCAGGTGGATCAGCAGTACAAGGGCACAAATCTACTGCTTTTCATGCGTCCCAAGGATTTTTCAGCTTCTGGCATGGCCATTTGTCAAATGTTATTCAGTATTTTCAAATACAGGCTTCTAAATGCTGCTTTTAAAGAAAAGGGATTCTCATGTCTAAAGTGGATAAACAGTTCTGGATAAAGATTTTTGTCAAATCTGGCTTCTGCTAGAGCTGCAAGAGTAACATCCCAGTGTTTAGAATATCCATTAGACTTTGAGCAAACTTTGTTACCTGCAGTCATTTGAAAGATGTTGCTGAGCAACAGCTTCAGGGACTTGGTGACTATTGTTAGAATTGCCACGGCAGATGGACTTCCTGGACTGTACCAAAGTTTTGGCATTTCAGTACAGGGAATCACTGTATACTAAGTAAGTCTCCTACTTTGAATGTTACAATACCATTAAGGGCTTATTGTCAAATCCAAAACAAACTCTGTTCAAAGCCAGGTTGGATGGGGTATTGGCCAGCCTGATCTGCTGGGGGACTATCATGGCAGGAGGTTGGAACTGGACGGTCTTTGAGGTCCCTTCCAACTCAAGCCATTCTATGATTCCATGACTATGCAAGGTCCTGAGACTGTCCAAAGGTTTTTTGTTCCACCAACTTCAAATGCATTTTTACAAATAATTTAGCCAAACTAGATAAATACCAAATGTAGAGTTACGCTGAAATACACCTGGGACTCAATATTTTTCTATTAAAATACACAACTACTACCAAAAGCACTAACTACAAACTGCCCCCCTCAATATTGCTGTGAACAGCACCATAAGATGTGTTCTCGATCGTGTACACAAAATCAAGAACGTTCATGTAATTTAACTGGATGCAAAATGGAAAAAAGAAAACCAAAACAATGGGGTCAAGTCATACCTCTTGTATTTTATCACAAACTGTAAGAATCAGGGAAATTCAGGCTATCAGGAATTATGAACACCCTACAGGTGGCATATTAGTTTTAAAACTTAAAAAATTACTACTAAGGACAGACTTTGAGTAAACTTTGATCCAAGTCAAAAGACTCAATCAATTAATCAGAAAGCCAAAATTATAATCAAAACACTGCCAATTTCAGACATCACTTGCTGACTGCACGGTCAGATGAAAGTATTTAGGTACTCTGAATGTACTTGGTTAGAGATGTTACACCTGAGATGACAAATGAGAGGTAAGAACTAGTTATGGTGTAAGTAATTGTCATATGAACAACAACAAACATGTCTCCATAACTGCATTTTTTTTTAAAAATATACGTGACGAGATCACAACTGACATTTTCCCCTTACAGTTAATTTCATTTTGCTATTTAGACAAACACATTATCTGTTCTGAAACTATTTGAAAGGCTCCTGTGATTCCAATGCTTTAGTAATTCATGGAACTCTGAGTAGAAGTGAGATGTTCTACACCCTGGTCTTAATTTAAGGCACCCGTAAGAAGCAAACTTCATGGGAAGTTTCAGTTCTAGGGAAAAATTAATCCTATTTTCCCTTCAAAAGAAAAGAAAACAAATTTGTAAGCAATTAGAATGTCACATTCTCTGTCAGTGAGGCAACAGCTTGGTGATATTCAGCTTAAATAAAGCTCAACCTGAAGAGCTACTACTGAAGCCACAGAATCTTCACTAACAGGGTACAAAAAAAAAAAAGTGATATTGTGACAGAAGGGAAAATTTGTATTAAATTCTGCAAAAGCTAGAAGGTAGAAGCAGAGCAAGGCTGGGCCCCATGTAATGATGGAAGTAAATAAATTAGAAACATTTTTGGATCACTGTACCACAACAACGAGTGCAAATACAACATGATTTTATGGGCAGGAACACTGCTGAAGCAGCATATTTTGTTTTCATCTGTATGGAATGACAATAAATCGCTTCTTTGATGAACAGAAATTTCATTCCATACGTCAGAAAACATATCTATAATTTATTACTAGTATCAGCTCAAAACACCTTCCATAATCACAAAAGCTCCAGTAATATGTAGCCATTAGACACAAAGATATACAGTTTTGGTTACAGTTGGGCTTTGCTTCAGATTCTGAAGCTTAATTCTTTACTTCTGCAGCTTCTTTATCATGCTTTTCCTTTGCCTTCTCCTTTTCTTCCAGTTTTTCTTCTTTTTGAAGCAGTGCCATAATCTCAGCGACCTGGCTGGTGCCAATATCAACATCTTCTTTGTCTATCAATTCTACTACCTACACAAAGAGTGAATGAAATTCAGAATAACATTTTTATAACATAAGACACTTTCATATCTTAAATTGTTAAGAAAAAAAAGCAGCCAGTTCTCTCACATTCAAGAGAGGGTTTTTTTTTGCCAACATAAAATAAATTTCAAATCGCAACCAGCGCCTCATACTTGGAATATTCAAAAGCTTTAGCACACAAAGCCATATTTTAGAACATTAGTAAGACATGTCCCTTTATTATATCCATTTCAACAGAAAGCTCTATTTCAGTATCTAGTATTTCTGAAATGTTATTAGGTAGAATCTACTTCATATGCTTCACTTTATTGAAGAGGCCTACTAAAAAGGCACACATTTACAAAAAATGAAGCATGGGGGTGGGTCTTTCAGAAAGCCAAATGAAAAAAAGAGATTAGCAGGAGTTTCCAAATTCCTTTATAAAGTTTCCTGTACAAAATAGTTCTTGACATAGCTCACGTTCTCAAAATTGTTCATTATAACAACTCAGGAAGTTCATTTTTCCTGTATTGCTAAATGTAACTCAATGCAACAGTTGTTCAGATCAACAGCGGAGGCCATCATCACTGGACAACTTCAGTACAGGGAAAAGAGTTTCAAAAGGTTGATTACTATATTTTTCAGCTGGCCATACTGTTCTATCTCTAAAAATTATTTCTGTATTGAGTAGGAAAGTTACTTGCAATGAAATAAGTTTCAAGACATCTCCAAAATAGAAAAGAAACAAGAAAACAAAGGAGAACACAGGAGACAACCTGAGAAAACTACAAAATGAGAAAAAAGGACGAAAAAGAAAAAAAAGGTTAAGAAGAGGTATGTGATACTCTACTTTCAGATAAGGAATTCACAGTCACCAAGTATAAAATGCCTCTCAAAAGCATTACGACATTACTTCAAAAGGAACAGAAATGGACAGAATGGCCAAATTATCTAGCAGTAGAAGTATCAGCTGGTAACTCTAAAACAAACATGACCTGATTTCAGTCATTTACAATGAATCTAAAGAGCAAAACGATGGTCTGATGCCTTTCAACCATAGGAAATAAGTCATAATCAAATATTTAAGGTATACATCTATGGTATTACTGAAGTCTTAATACATGAAGTAGCTCTTTAAAACTTCTTTCCATCCTCCCTTCCATTCTTAAGTAGCATAACAAAATTACCCTATACCATGTGTAAATATATACAGTATATATACACAAATATTTTTTATATATAATGTTTTTCATATACACACACACCTTTACACATGCAAGTAAAACCTACAGCTTTAAAGGTAATGCAGGTACAGCCATAGGATAAGAATCATCACCCCCCTCTGAAACCGCCACAGAAATTCTAAAGATGACAAGAATCTTTCCTTGATGCTACTGACGTTTTTGGAAGTGTACTGTAAATAGAAAGCATCAAGATCTTTTGCAATTCTTGCAAAAAACATGAATATGAATTTAAGTCAGGATTGTCACAGGCACAACATTTGAAGAATGCCTAAGCTTATCTTCTTCAAATAGTCTACAGACTTACCTTAACAACATTATCTATATCAATTTTGCCATCTTTGTTTTCATCTAATGCCTCTGCAATCCTTGTTAGTTTCTCCTCTGGAATCTTCTGGATTTGTTTCATTGCATTAATTAGCTCAGCAATACTGATGAGATTCTCCCTAAAGAGGAAGCACAATCTGTATATGGCAAACAGTTACTCCAAAGGAGTAAAAGTCACAAAAGACAAGCATTGAAAGTCACTATGTTGCAGGTAACTTGTAAAATATTAAACAATCATTTGTAATCCTGAACAGAATGCAAAAAAGCATTTACAATTAAGCAATGTTTAAGTTAGTCATTTTCAACTACAAAAATCATTGGCTTGGGCTGGAAGTGACCTTAGAGATCACCTAGCTCCAAACCCCAGCTATGGACAGTGTTGCCACTCACTACAATCAGGTTGGCCAGAACTACGACAAATTTAGAGTTTTTCTCCGAAAGACATTCATTACATTAAGTACAATGACATTTAGTGCAAATGCTATATTTTATTTTTAATTTACAAATTAGGATGGTTTTCATTAACAACTCCCTGTAGCACCTTTCACATGGCCTCCTCAATCTTATACAAAATCTGAAACGAATGACTGCTTCCCCTGGGGACTGGAAGAAAACAGTTTAGATAGAACTGAAACAAAATCCTTATTTTTGTTTGGGTTATGTTTTTTGGAAGCTGAGAAGCAAACAAACTAGATGAAAACTGCATTTACAAACACAGATTGAAAAATTCTGTCACAGTTTATCTGCATCTCGGTACTCCTAACAAGTAACATATGACTGTGAAACACATGATTGCTTGAAAGGCCCTCCAGTAACATCAACACTTCTACAGGTCTTCATAAATTACATCTGAAATGAAAACTGTTAGATTTCACTTAAGTTTCTTATTGTAACTAAGTCTTCAGGAAGGAGCCATGTAAAATTATCTCTATTTCCTTTAAATGTCCTCACATTTCTCTTCAAAGAGTTATCTCCTTACACCTGACAAAATGGATTTTATTGCCATTTTTTCCCCCCTGATACGTTCACTACTGAAGCAGAACAAACAGAAATATGCTCAAAACTGCTGCATACTGTTTCAATTAATGATACAAGGCAAACTCACTGCCTGAGTAGCATTACTGAAGGTGTGATTTCACCTACATCATCATTAGGCCTACATGCATGAAAGAGATGGAGTTCTGAAGTCAGGGTGTCAAACATATACAATCAGGCTAGCATCTAAGGAATTTATACCTGCTGCCTTTCCACCCTTACTTCAACCATATTTGACATATTTCAGAAACATTCAGTGCTCTCAAGTCACTTACCCAGCAGCAGGAGGACTATCACCTCTATCAAGTTTTACATCCACCGTCTTTTGATTGGTCTCTAACTCATTAATAATTTTGTCTATCTGACCAATCATCCGGTTCACTCTTTTGGTCAGTCGCTTGCTCGCCTTTGATTCTTCCACTACTTCTTCCTGGCCAGCTTTAGAAAGCTCCTTTATTTCTTGCAAATCCTAAAAGAAATGGTCAGGAAGAAAAACTTTTTGCAGGTCTGAATTCTCAATGACACCGCAGTCTAAGAGATTAGTATTTCAAGAGTATTTCAAGACAGCTGCCCTATGCAAATGAAAGCTAAATGATGATACAAAGCCAAAGTGAAATCAGAACCAACTCTTAAAACTGAAGCCATTTTCACAAATTCTTTAACTGGTATTTGCCACAGTCATAGAATCACCAAGGATTGGAAAAGCCCTACAAGATCATTCAATCCAACCATCCACCGATCACCAATAGTTCTCACTAAACCATGTTCCTCAACACAATGTCTAAACGTTCCTTTACCACCTTCCTGGGCAGCCCATTCCAGCACCCAGACACAACCTTCAAGAGATTGAATACAATCCCAATTAACTTAAGGCATCTAAAATATTGACATTATGTTTGATAAGAAAGCACTGCAGCATGTTCAGCACCTGTTATTCTGGTTACACAGGAAATAAGAGTAGGAACAGGACTCTGTTCTGGAGGGAACTACTCCAATGATTTTAACTACTTGTTTAATGTGTTTAAAGCCCAAAGCTCTGCACTGTCCTCTAAAGCAGGTCATTTACTCTAAAAATGAACAAGAACAGATTTTATTATTATTATTACTATTTTTTAAGAAATCTCACCTCATTATATTCCTGGATATCACCCTTCAATTCCTCAAGCTCCTCCTTTTCCTTTGTTAGCGATTTTTTCTGTTCCTGCAGCTTGTTACAAGCATCACTCAGCATGTCAATCTCCTCCTTAGTTATTTCCTCACCCTGTAACAGAAAATACATACCAATTAGTGAGAAAGATGTGTGATTTTCCTAATAAAATAAAATAAATTCACGAGATAGAAAGGACACAGTTCAGATTCTTCATCCATGTTCATCAGAGCCAACACACTATAGACTGGCATTCTGAAGCTCACATAGAGATCATAAATACTGAGAATTAGCTTGCCATAGTACTGTTTAAGCATGTTCGTATCTAGTTTGGGTACTATGATTCATTACATGGGTTTTGGCTGTTTGAAATCCTGCACATAGTTGTCTCATTAAGAAAAGAAATGTTTAACCTCCTTCTCTACTGAATGGAAAACCTGAATAATTGAGAAATGACTCAGACATCATATACAGGAAATACTCATCACATAGAAGATTTTGCAGAGCAAAGTTCAGGATGTTGAGCTGAAACAAAATCTTCAATATCTTTTCTAATAATATGGATGAACATTCAAACTTTGCAAAGTCTATATGCTTCTTGAAATGTTGAGAATAAAATTGAACTCCCAAAAGAATATATCAAAAATACAATTTCAAGAATGATTCATTAAAAATGCTAAAATCCCATGACAAGATCCAGCTAGTACATTATATAAATCCTACCCAGATACCAGCTTTTGTTCTGAAGGAAAAAGCTCTGAACATACATATAAAACACAGTACAGAAAGACAAGTGCAAACAAGTAGAAGGATGATGTGTGTCCAAGAAACAAACAGATCTTCACAAACTACATACAGCCCCTTCAACAACTCAGTTTCACTATACTGCTACCTATACAGACATCAACCTCGTTTCTGATTGTAAGTGCAAAACAACAAAAACCCTCACCCCCAAAAAACAACCATCAGAAAGTAGCTGTTTGAAAAATTCCTCTGCCACAAATAAAATTAAACAATTTCAAGAAGTCAGTAGTCTAATATTCACCCCCTCCCCCTTGTAACAGACAACATGGCATACTAATGTGAAAAAAAAGTCTGAAGCAAAATGTTTAGTTCCCTTAATTATTCAACCTTGAACAATCTTTCAGTACTCCTCAGATGACGCTGCTACCATTAGAATGTGCTTATTAAACAAATACTGTTATGCTAGCAACAGATAATGATGGTGCCCAGAAAAAATAGAAGACAGTACAATATTGATGTACCCTGTAAAATACTGAGGTACACTGTTTAACACTTTTTAATTAATGACCTCTGTGATGGTACAGCTGAGCTATTTTGAACAACATATTAAAGAGATGGCAGGAAAGTAACTAAAAACATTTTTATGGTGTACATACCGTACACACATCTGCTTAAAAGAAGTCAATATGGATCTAATACAGACTAGTTCAAACTTTGGAAAGTCTAGTTCCTTGTTTAATGCTTTAGTCTTATCTGTACCCTTCAAAAGGAAAAAAGCCACTCACCTTTACCTACTCATGTCCACACCTTCCTCATGTTAAGTACAAACATCCATAGACCCATCATGTCTACAGTCAGTGGAAATGCCCCCACAAAATAAGTGTATTAGTTTCAGTAATACAGACAAAGGAGATCCCGAATTTATGAGCCAGTCTGAGTTGCAGCACTGGTGATTAAGAATCTGCAGTCACATTACCTTAATGCCTTCTAGTATGGGTGCTGTATCTTTCAACGTTTCCATATCTGCTTTTGCCAGCTCTTGTTTGCTGTCCATAGCCACCTGACTTTCTTTAACTTGCAGAACAGCTGGTTCAAGATCTACTGCTGATTCCACTTCTTTCTACATTTGACAGACCCAAGAAGTTCAATTAAAACAAAGATAGCATTATCTGTATAAGCACCAGCAAAGAATGGTTCTTAAAATAAAGTAATTGCCAAAGGAGATGCAGACATTTTTATGATAACATTAAAAACTTTCAACATATTGAGTGGTTTCATACTAAAATGCCCAACTGCACTTAATGGACCGTGCCTCTGAGCATGGTAAGGCTTAATGCATGCAATAAACCAGGCTAGCAGCTTTTATGCTCAAGTGTTATATCAATGACACTACCTGACTAATGAAAAAAAAGAGCCAAAAGGTAAGAACAATCACAATTTACACTAAGGAAAAATACAACACAAGAAAACCAGCCCAAAAATTAAAAAACAAAACAAACACAAACCTCTTACTCTCTTGATAGTTAAATGTTTCCTCTTATCATTCTGATTAAGAAGAATCAGAGATACATAAGACAGGCAGCATCTGGGGTTTCACACTGAACCCTCCCATACTGCATCCTGCTTTAGTATTTTTCCACATTTTCCGTAAGTGGATTTAAAGTCTGGTTTCTTGCAGACAACACCCAAAACAGAGACAATCACTCATAACATGCTAATTTTACATCGCTAGCATTTATTTCTCAGCAGCTGAGAACAGAACTTACCACAGCTGCAACCTGAAGAGTTTCTTTGGCTTTCTCTGCAGCTTCAGATATTCTTTCCATCTCTTTTTCTTCATTTTCTTTTCTGATGGCTTCTTCTTCCTGAAGCGTTGCCTCCAGTCGTGCTTTGTTATCTACTTTTTCACCTTCAACTTCTGCCACTTTGACTTGAGCTTCTTTGGCCTAAAAGTAATGCAAGAAATATATAAAAGTCTCTGTGTGCTGATATAATGCAAAAAAGTTAAAATATCATTGAGACAGGTAGCATAGGAATGCTAATGAATACAGTGGAGATTGCAAAAAGTTGTCTAATTTTTTCCATTTTTCAGAAAAAAATTATCTTTGAAAATTTTCCATTCTGAAAATGTAATCTATTCTTCCTTTTCTCAAGAGCACCAATATATTTTTTTCAAATAGTCTCTCTCTACATAACATTGACATATTCATCATAAAACACTTAATTCAATGTATGTCTTGAACTTGTCTGGATTACAAGTTTCGCTTTTGCCATTTCTAATTTGCAGTTTCTAATTCTGTCTACATGCTATGTAAGTTTGGTTTATGGCCTCTATGTTGAGGAACTAAATTAGTATGTTAAATGTACAGAGATGCATAGAATTCTTAGTTGTATGTTATACAGTAGAATAGGAATCTGCATAAAAGAAAGTTCAGTATGTTCACTCAGAGATTGAAACATTCTGAGAAATCTATCAGAGAAAAAGATCAGTCTTGAAGAGATCTAAAGATAAACAGTTGTGCACCCATTTTCAACTACTAGCTGAGTTTAACACTGAATAAAATACAGTTTTCATAAATAAGGTAGACCAAGAAAAACAGTTCTTTAGTTTACTATATTTTTATGTGGTCCTCCAATAAATATATTTGAAAACCCCATGAAAAGTTCTGTTTCTGAATTACAAGAAACAGAATAGAACTAGTTTTAACATTTAAGTGATAACTACCTTCCATTATGATAGAAAAGAAAGAACTCCCATTGAAAAGAAAAAAAAACAAATCCCACTAGTGAAAATGATTTATTTTAGTAGATCTCTTTCTTCTACAAACCAAAAGTCTGAACAGTAAGACTGGAAAAATAACTCAGAAAAGAACACATCTGGTGAAACAAAATGCAAGTCTTGTGAAGAAGATAAGGTAATTCTATCCACACACTATTTTTGGACAAAGCCAAATTCATACAAGCAAATGAGCAAACCTGATAGTTTCTAGTGCCAAAAGGAAACTAGTAAACCCAAGAGAGATATCCCAGTCTGCCATGCCTCATATTTAACTTTCAAAAAATTTTAAGATAGCAGTGCCCTAAAAAGCCTAAAAAGGAAATAGCTGAATTCTCATTCTTTTGACATAACAATAAAACCTTACAAACTTCCAAGTTAATGCAATATTTCAACCATAACAGAATCTCACTTATGAACATTTCCACCTCCGTTCTTTATGAAGCAGAAAAAATTAAGACTTCACATCCATCTCTTATTAACCATAATTAACATAGCAGTAGAGAGACTACAAACACTCCATCTCAGCACCTTTGTATTGCCTACAGCATAACTAGGTATAAGAAGTGCATGCTGTATCTTCCTACACTACTGCTCTCTACCCTTATGCAACAAAATACTGCCTTCCATTTGCCTTATCAAACCCATCCACAGCCCATTTCTATGTTTTAACATCATCCATGTAAACCTCTCCCTCCTCCACCCATCCCCCCTTTTTTTTTTTAATGCTTTCCAAGGAAAGGAAAGAGACCAAGAACATCTACTGCTCTTAACAGATTTTCAGTGACTGTACTGCAAGTTAGTTACAGATAGTATAAATCACACTTACAACACTCTCTGGTAGTGTCTGAAGTGTTGTTTTGAGCTGATCAGCTGGAGAAAGTGTGTCTGGAAGATACATGGCCCTGGATAAAATGAGCAATGAAGTAGGGATTTCCTGGTTCAAGTGCAGATCTAGCCACTACAAATGAAATACATAAAACAAAATCCTTCAGCTTTGGAAGTCTCTCTCTTCTTATAAATTAACACATGCATACAAAAAAAGTGCAAACACTGATTTTTTATTTTTTTTTTAATCTCTAGTTATTGATAAATATCCTCATACAGGAACTACAGGCTGTAACAGTAAGGAAATACAGCGACTGAATTGAGAAAGCATCTGAAGAATATTTTTTTTCATATGCATCTTCTTCTGAATCAGGTAACCAAAAGATAAGATTTCTTTTCTCCAAAATTTACCAGGAAGAACACACTTTATAGATTAATAGCAATAATTCACAAGACAAAGAGGCATAAGTGAAAACATTTTGAATATGTTTAATCACCATCATCAAAACATCAAAACCCAGCTAAAAATCAGAAGTCTATCACTATTATGTACTTACAGGGAACATGACAAAAGCTTATTAAAGACTTGGCTCAAATAGTCTTAATGAGAGGAGAAGCAAAATGATTTTATCAAATCAAATTTTAACAAAAATCATAGTTAGCAATTAAGTCTGTGTATACAGTCTTGCAAAAACATACCTGTTTAAGCTGTTCTTTGAGACGCTCTTCTGTCACACCAAGGGCTCTCATTCCTCGTGCACGACACGCTGCCTGCAGTTCTTTAACAGTCAGGCTGTCAACTCCTTCTTCAGCAATCATCTGCACGAAACGTAAAATGAACTTCAATATGTAACTGCTCAAATCTGAAGAACCACCAATGTACACTCAGAAGTCTGCATTTTTAGAAAAGCCACTAGAGGCTGCTGTGGTAACACAAAGCAGCCTCCACTATACATAAAACAGCAGCGAATATTACACTGCAGTCCAAGCCTTTTTGTTGCAAGTTAGCTCAAAATAAGGGGAGGAAAATGACAAGAAAAACGAGGTATACACACACATACACACACACAATTTGCTCATCTTACACATAAACATTATTAACCAGTACATATCTAGAATGACTCACTTTGTCATCTGCTTTTATACTTCTTAACCTCATTGTCAGCTGGAAGCGGAGAAAGTTATTTGTCCCAATTGACTGAAGTTCCAGCAATTTACAAAGTGCCACCAACTGAGGCCTGGTTAGATTGTCCAGAGTCAACTCATCTTCAAATAGTTTTGAGAACCTCAGGATCTCCTCATTACTGGGCCTTTCACCAGTCTCCCTGATCTGTAAGAACAGCAGAGATACAAAAAGCTTTTCAAAACAAATTTCACAATTGAGCATTATTTTGAACAGTAAAAACTGTTTTCACTTGTCAAGTATTTTGCATCAGTTTTGCTAATAGGAAATGGGATAAAAGGAAGTCATGGAAGAATTTTTGTTTCAAGAAGTACTTGTTTCCTATAAAAGGCAAAAGAATGGTATTGATGATATTAACAGTTTCCTACAGCAATGTGTAATATACATGGCTAGATAAAACCCATCAAAACCAACAATTAGATGCATGTGTACACTAATGAGTAGCTCTCTCTGAATTGGCACTGCCTTGAGATAACTCAATATCTGAGAAGATAAATAGTAGCTACAGGAGTCACATACTTAGTAAACATAAAAGCACATTGAAAGTACCTCTCTCTGAAGATATACCAAGAAGCACACTGTGATTTCAAATGGCAAAATTTCTGTGACCTTCACATCCCTATGAAACACTACCTTTCACCTACCTAAGCCCTCTCCAGAACTGCATTTGCTTCAAACTAAAAGAGGGGAGATTTAGATTAGAATAACACTAGTTGCTTCATCTATCATCTCTCTTCTTTCCAGAGAGGTGGTAGATACCCCATCCCTGAAGACACTCAAAGTCTGGCTGCGTGGGGCTCTGAGCACCATGGAGCTGTAGGTGTCCCTGTTCACTGCAGGGGAGTTGGACTAGATGGTCTTTAAGGGGTCCTTTCCAATTCAAATGATCCTATGATTGTACAGAAAAAAGCCTATTTCCTGAGAGTGCACACAAACTTCATCATGAGTTCCAAAGCAAGGCAGGTAAGTTCTGGAATTCTGAAAGAAACATGTTATGACTGTAATTTGTGGCTTCTGGCAAATACTTCACCACAGAAGCAGCATAAGAGAACAGCAGAAAGGTGGGGAAACATTTCACCTTTCTTTTGTATTTCTTATTACAGCAAAATGACATCAATAAAGTTCATCTCCGTAGCACAAACGAGAAAGTTACGGTCATAAAAAGCACACCCACACATAAGGAAAGCAGATCCTGAAGCTTCTTTTTAGTCATCACAAGAAGTTGGAACTCCCCCTAGCAAGTGTGGAGTGATACATGTTAATTTCCATAGAAATCAACCTTTGAATTTAAATTCTGAGAAGTTGTTTCAGATAAAAATGAAATGCTCCAAATATGAATCATAACAGTGGCATGTTCCCCAGAGTCCACAGACATAAGGACTAGAGGCATGCTTCAGCTGCTAGTCATTGTAACTAACCAATCAAGATCTTCTGCACACGGAGAAGAATGGAAACAAATGACTGCAAATAAGTTTGCAAGTATATGGCCTTTGCAAGTAGATACTTGCACAACCTTTCAACAGCACAACCATTATCTGAGGCAACGCATCTGCTACCATCAACTTATTACCTCATCTTCTAAAAGCTTTATTCTCAGGAAAAGCTCAAGCTTGAAAAGCCCAGTCTAAAATACCTGGAGTTCCGAGCCTTTTTCAGTGCTTAAAACTTTCAGCCATACTCCCAGCCTCTGGTAGTAGCAGATGGTTATTGTCTTGACAGCTCCATGACTACAGAAATCATGACTGTGTGGATGGAGATGAATCCTATGCTGAGAAGATTTAGGAAGGTATTCTTTATCTCCCCAGAGAATAACTTACCTCCAACTCAGTGAAAGGAAACACTAACAACCTAAAGACAGTCAATTCTGGAGGCAGATATCTGATGTTCAATCTTTATTCCAGCAACTGCTTGCTAATAGGGAAATTTTGTACCAAACATAACAGGAAAATCCCAAGTTCTAGTCATTATCATGAAGGATTTCAGCAGCACAGAAACTGTGCTTTAAATGTGTTTAAAAAAAAAAAAAAACATTTTTATACACAGGATTAAATATAACAAAACAAAAAAAAAAAAAGAGGGGGGCAAATTTTACACTTCCCCCACTGAGTTTTAATCAGGTAATTAGGAAATAACAATTTTTCCTCACATTTTATACCCAATGTTCATAAAAACAGGCCAAAAACTACATGAGCTATCACTCACTGCATGTTATCTTTTTGATGTCTGAATTAACTAATGAACAAAGAGACAAGAAGAAAAGAATACTCCCTGCTTGGAAGCATTCAAGGGCAGGCTGGATGGAGCTTTGAGCAACCTGGTCTAGAGGGAGATGTGCCTGCCCATAGCAGGGGGTTGGAACAAACAAACAAAAAAAAGGCTTTAGAAAAAGACAATTACCTTTTGAAAGAATGTTGAAAAATCTTTTGTAACATTTCCTTTAGCTGCCTTATTTTTTAAGGCCATCTCCTCAATTGTATCTTGAAGGAATTTAGCTAATTCAAGCTTTACTCTCAGTTGTTTCTTTAATCTTTCCTCCTGTTAAAAACAAACAAGCACAAAAAAAAAAACATTGGTTTTTAGGTTTCATCCAGAAATATCTGCACTAAAATATGACAACTTCTGCCCTCAGACAGATTATTTATACACTATTTCTGATCTTCTGCTGTAACACACTTCTCAAGAGGACAATGTACACAAAGACCACCAAATCACAATGAAAGCTCTACGAAGCTCAAGGTGCAGTGCCAACAGGAAAGTATATCTTAATGCCTCACCTACTAATGCTGACGTGCACCCATCAAAACAGCATGAAGGCAGACAAAAAAACATTCACCAATACTTTGATTATAGTCATCTTTGATAATGACCTAAAATAAGTGTTGGATGCAGCTAAAGCATTATTTAGGTCAAATACTAGAATAAAAAAACACTCAGAACACGGTTAGGTCTATACTAGATCATTTGGAGTGATCAGCATTAAAATCCCTCTCAGTCTTACAGAAACACATTTCAAGTTTAGTTGCTCATATGTAATTTTTGAGCATTATTTCCTATTTTTATTCCATAAATTAAGCAGCTTTTTTCCTGTTTATATTTTAAAAAACAATTTTCTCTTCCATACATATATGACAAAACAAGAAACTGAAAAACAATTCAGCAAATACTGTAGCACTGTTTACTTTAAAATCCTGACCGCCTAACCCCACTGAAATGCATAGCTACCAATAATGCTCATGTAGATCTCTCTATTCTTTATCTCTTGATAACTCATTTAAAATTTTACTTTGGCTTAAAAAAACCCTGTTTATTTAGTAGTAATATATTATGATTTTATACAGCAATGTAAAGCACTACACATCATTAGAAAAGCTCAATATCAATTGAATGTAAATTGCCAAATCTTCTTGCTGAAATCTTTTTAGAGTAAAATAACTTATAAACTGTGATCTGGACAATATATGCAATTTCCTACCCATAAAATAAAAATAAAAAAGAATCACTGCAATGCTTGTTGCTTATAACACCATATTTTTCAGAAGAAAACACTTCATCCTACAACCAAGAATTAAATGACTGCTTTTATTATGAGATTCTACAAACAGATACAGCAGGTATAAAACACGTTCAGATAACATTCACAACATAAGCTTAAGTTCTTCCAATCATCTTCCTGGATCACAAATTCAGACATACCTTTTTAGACTTCGTCTCAAATGTAGAGGGAAGCATATTAGGGAACAACTTTAGAGCTACTGGAAGCAGAAACTCCATAAATGGGACAACGAGAAAAACGAGGAAAGGAACCAAGCGGAAGAGATCAGCACATATCCGAAGAAACTGGAAGAAATAAAATAAATGTACAGATAAGCAAAGTTTCATTATTTATTTAAAAATCCTTGATGTTCTCATCTGCCTTACCAATAACACCTGCGCATGTGTACTTGCTAGAAAGAAAATATAAAATAACACAAAAAGAAAGAATGTGAAGAAGTCAGTCAATTTCTGGTATCTTTTTCTTATAGTTACTCTATGCTACAGAGCACCAAGTCACCATTTTCAATACCACAGAAAGCATTTCAAAACCTTCACTGTGTCTCAATAGGATTACTGAGCAAGTATCTCATTTAAACCTCTTAAAAGCACCTGAAAACAGGAGGTGGTCATTTGTTGTTGTTAAAGCTTAACCTCTTTTATTCATCTTTATTTGTGCTCCACCATTTCTTACATGCATGAGCTGCTGCAGACTGAGTAATCAAGAGTAAAATGAAGGGCTCCACCCCTCTGCCTTCCAACAATTGTAACATACATTTAAATCCAGGGTAATGACCTCTGCTTTGTTGAGGGATGTTTTGTTGTTGTTTTTAAATCATGGCTTTTCTGGAGCAGTAGCCCACTGCAGCAGGCAGCTGCATTAGTTACTGAGTTGTGAATGGCCTGAAATAAATATCATCCTTTTGATTTCTGTACAACCACAACTGTATGTATTAGGCTGCACAGTCTATAATCAAATTTTTGCAATTGTGGAGCTTAATAATTTGGTTTATATTAGAGGAGCATACTGTTTTGTAACATAAATAATCAGTTCCTGGGAATAACATCAGTTTCTAAATCAGAGACTGAAGGCCAGAAGTGCACTACTGTCCAGCACTGTCAGTCACCACTATGACTTAATAAAAACAGTTATGACTGGCAAAAAATAGCAACAGAAATGCTACCACACAAATGTGCGTTTACCCCTGCATCCTCTCCCTACAGCTTGTGCCAATCTGGAGAGCAACAGCCTGTACAGGCTGCACGTTGCTACAGAACAGCTTTGCTAGAGTACAAAACCAATACAGCTTTAATCCATTTTCTCAGCATAAAACCATGCAGAAGTATTATATGCAGTTTGAGCACAAGCTTTGCAGATGTAAAGGCTGACATTTTTCTTTCTATATAAAAAAAATGCAGTTTCCCAGAAAGGAAGCTTTGTCCATTGTTTGCAGACTCAAAGGCATTTCCATTCACTCCAACAATAGCAGATAAATGACAACCAGAGAGTTCAAAAGGATGTAAGAAAGTTCAGAAGAGAATGTTAAGAGTCAGAAGAATGAACATTTTCCCTGGGAAAAAAAACTTCAAAAAAATATACAAAATGCTCCTATTTCTACCCACTCTCTATATTCAGATACTGAAGGTACTCATCTAAGATGAAATCTAAATCTAAGAAAGCAGTTTTACAACCAGATTAAGTTAATCTGAGATGCTATATTAAATGTGCACTAGCAGGCACACCTCTGATCCAGCTAAAACTAACCCAGAAGCACACATACAAGATGCAGATCAGTGCAAAACAAAAGGAGACAGAGTAGGCAAGGGAAAGATCTTGCATTTAAGCTCTAAGCCAGGCTGCAGCAGCACAGTCCTGGCTCGGCTTACATAAATCATAGACCTGCACTAAGAGCTCTGCACAGAAATTGAATACAATGCTGCGTGATTCCACACATTGCTTGGCATTAGCATGAAGAACTTGTGATTGCTCTGTATCTGCTGCTACAGCTCATGTACTGCACCACTCCATTCTTCACTCTTCTGCAGGACAGAAGGCTCTGCAGAACCAATATATTTGCCACCAATTCTATAGCATTTAATGCCCTGAACATCCCTGCTGCAAAAAGCATCATTAGAGAAATTAGTTTTTAAACAGTCAGTATCATATTTTACACATTTAACTTTTCCTGACTTATCATCTAAGCGTACATAAGTGATGCTGTTGAATCTAAAGCCTGCCAGCAATTGTACAAGCAGTATTTTGTAACTGAGTTTTGGTTTACATAAGCAATAGCTCCCTTGCATTAACCACGCTGCAATTGCTTGTTAATGTGGTTAGATTACTCAGATATCTTTCCATTATTGCCTCCAAAGAGGAAGGAAAAGGCAAGCAGAAATAACTCATTTGTCAGTTTGAGTGAAGATAAGATTTTTCTAGGACTGTTGGTTCAGACATGGTTTATTACATTTAAAGCAGTATGCACTTCAAATACTAAGAATTTCAGGCACAACTCTGACATACCTGGCATCAAAGATTTAAGACTTCTTTAAAATCAGTTGTCACACTACAATTTAAGGATGATCTGATTTAAAAACAAAAAAAAACTGCTGAAACAAACCTACATAAGGTTTTAAAGAAGAATGTGCAAAGAGTTTAATTCAGCTGTAGACTGATTTGCTCTTCACTGGCCTGGGTTCAAGGACTACCACAACTCTTCCATTCCAGAGACAGGACATCCTCTACCTCCATATGAAGAATGTACACAGCTCAGATTGAGAAAGTAAAACAGCTGTAGTTCTTCAAATAAATTTTCCCTACAATTTCTGCACTGGAATGCCCACAGATTTCGTCATTAGAGAAGCTTTATCAATGTAAACACCAACTTTATCTATGCAAGAAACCTTCTGTTTTATTTAAAATAAGAGAATCAAAACTGGAAGCTCTCATCTGCAATAAATAAAATTCAGGAAGGCCAAACAACTACACAACTATGGGAAAGACACTCTATGCTCACTGTACGACAGCACTGAAGAGGAATCTGGTGAATAAATTCCTCTACTGACTGGATAGGGCGTGCTCATCCAAAGATAACACATTGCTCCTGACTGTTCAAGCCTTCTAGTACACACTTCTCATCTTTCAGTAGAAATACCTCTGTGGGATTTCTCTTTTTTCCTATTTGTGTGATTTCTTAGAAATATGGCTCAGCAGATCTGAAACAGGCAGAAAAGCCAATGGTTCCAGTCCTGCCTTATGGAAGACATCTGTGAACTAACTGCTCTTGCTTTGTCTTTCCAGTACTCTAGAGCCCTGAACAAGAACTTCCCAAGGTCCTGCTGTCCTCATTTCCCCTGCTTTCCTCAGCTGCTCTTTCTTGGCACTACATAATCCCCTGTCTTATGTCAGCATACACTTTTAAATTTATTGCTGAGCAACGCTTCAACTGGCTCAGCTGCCAAATACACTCTTACACCAGCATTCAAGAGTAGAACAAAAATAAGTGGCGTGAAGATGCTGAGACCAAATGCCATCAACCACTGCTGCTGCAGAGAGAGCCCAGACACAATAATGATGAAAACCTCCACACATACCTTTCTGTCATTTGTCTGATCTGGTGGATATACAAAAAGAAACATAGTTCACTGAGATGTGCTGTTTTCAAATTAGCCATGAAAATGCTCGATTATGCATCTAAGCTTATCAATAAATCATTAAAGCATTCATATTTTTGAACATTTAGGAATGTTTTTAGACATGCAGATGTAAATCATTGCCTCTGCAGCATACCAATCTGCAGATGTTTATACTTAATTACCAGAGGCACCAACCATTCCTGCTGCCAGAATACACATTTTATTCTCCAACATCTCATTCGCCACAATTTTTTCAATACCAGATGAAGTGTTTTTGTTTTGTGTTTTAAAAGAAGCCAGATTTGATTATCTGTACAAGCTGTTTACATATATCATCTAAATCCTCTTCTCAAAAATTCTTTAAAGCTTTTTTAAAATTGTCATCTTTACATAATTTCAAAGGCTGTAAGCTGCATGGCACGTGGAAAACGGAAGTATAAAACAAAGACTTTTCTCAAGTTATCTGTTCGGAGTAGGATTATCTCACAAACACATTTATGACTGAAACGGAAGTAATACCACACTGTTAACCATGAAGTTAAACTACATCTTCTACTTTATTGTCTTTTTTTGGTTTTGCTTTTAAAACCAAGTTGGCACAAAACCAACCTTTGCTAGAAGTGTTTTGCCTCCATCTTTTCAGCTAAAAACGTAAAATAGAGACAGTGATCACGTTTACACGTGTAACTGGATGGGAACTTGAGAAGAAAGCACAGTTGCTGCAGAATAATCTGCTTTTCTAACTAGCAAATAAATTTATATCCAACTTTTTTTTTCCTCCAGACACAAAGCAAGAGAAGATATATATGTTCACATGTCATTTAGAAACAGAATAGTCACATTTCTAAACAGAATATTTTGATGTTTTAATGGCAGGTTCAAAGAACTATACCAGGGGACAAGACTTAAAACAGTTGGGAATCAAATCAGAAGTTCTTAGTGTCTACATGAGGCAAAGGAGGGAAATTTACAAGGTTGTTTTAACTCAAGGAACAAAACGCAACAAAGAATTAGTTCAGGTTAAATAAAATGGAGCAATCATTAAGGATACTAAAATGAAATTGGTATTTACTCAGTACCTGTCTCCGTTCTCGACGTGACAGAGTATTTCCATGCAATATTCGCCAGAGCATCCTTGCAGCTATTTTTGTGTCAATCCAGAGTAATCGAAAACCATGGTAATAGTGCTTTAGCTCATCCACAATCCTCTGTCCAATAGATTTTTTCACAACTTCCACTTCTGTCGGACTATATACAGGACCTCCTTCTTCCAACTTCTTGTTTTTGTCCTTTAAGGACTTCAGGGACTTTTCAACTATGGAGTCATCTTGAAGAGAACGTGAAGAATGCCACCACCTAACTGGAAGATACTTGGGTCCTAAAACACCCATGGCTGCCAGGGGCATCCATGAGCCAGAAGAGCTCATAAGAGTAAAGTACGTTCGTTCCGACGCTTTAGTCCAACAGCAGTAGTGATCTTTTTTGGAGTATGTGTAAACAGGAGCGACACCAGTGCAATATTTGAAATGTACAGTCCTTCAAAAGAAAAGAAGAAAGAGCATTCAAAAACTAACAAGACATGGTGCGTCAGCTGAGGAATATACATGTATACACCAATTATTCAATGAGATTTATTTACAGATCTCAAGGTCAGGATGTCTGAACCTGAAAGCAGCGTCTTGCTCTACTTTGCAACAAATCGAACAAGCAACAACATCCACCAAACAAAAACCAACCGAACAAAACCAAAACAAAAAACAAAACCTGAAGAAATCCACCTGCAGTGGATTTTCCTTTAAATTACTTGGAAAAGGTAACTTATTTTACTCAAGTTAAATTAAAAGCAGCAAACAGAAGTGCTTTCCACTTGAAAATGAATCTGTAAAACCATAAGTAACAAAGCCCTTCTATTATTTCTTTTATTTAAACAAAACAGTTAAGATACTGCAGACTGTTGGCTTGGGTCAGGTGCCAAGTTAGGGGAAAAGGATTAGCATTAGAGAGATCTGATTTCATTGGAGTTCCTCCGTTACTCTCTCCCCAGATCTTGTTTTCCTTTTTCAGAAGAAACTTTACACATGAACTTCCACTGTGGTTCTGAGGTGCTGCACACAGGACTAACAGTATGTGGTTCTTTTTCTTACATGAAATGCGAACTGAAGTCAGAAGAAAAGTGTTATTAGATAACCTGAAACAGTAGATACACATTAGAAGACACAAAAAATGTCTCTCTTTAAATACACTTCCACTACAAAATGTTGGATGCAGAGCTTCCTTTCCAAGCTCTCCTCCGTACTGGCATTATTGGAGTCCCCTGCTTTGGATCTTGGCTGTGTGCAGGCATCAGTTTTATTTTATTTTAAGGAGCAACATCACAGTAACAGCAGCTTTCAGCACAAGAGCTTCTCAAAACAAACCAATCTACAACCTAAAAGCCAGCAATTTCTGTCACAACATTCTGTTAATATTACAGAAGTAAATCAGTAAGTTTTTATACTTCCCAAAGAGAGACCTCACAGCAATCTATAAAAAAAAGCCAACTGAGACTTGAAAAAGGTCTGTATATTAAAACCTCTCATAACTAATTACGTAGTAAGAACTAACAAGACTGAAGAAGAAAGGAATCACTTTATGTTTTGTATCAGACAGCAAGACCTTTATGATAAAATAGAAACTTACAAAACTGAGGAATGGTCACTGTTTACTGAACAGTCAGACTAAATAAACTAGACAACATATTTTAATATCCCAAGAAAAAGCATTAGAAAATCCATATCCATAAATATGACTCGTAAGGCGGGTCAGAAGGAGAATGTACTCTCTCATCCAGCTCCTTACGTGACATAAGAGCACAGAACAACTGGATTTACTTGCAAAAGACACCATAATCTCCTCAGTGAGCCTCAGTCAAGGCTGTAATGGACATTACACTGCCTGAGTTTGACCAAGATACAGCTCAAGTGACTAAGTTCCTAACTGACAACAATGTATTTCAAACTAGCCTTGATTGAATGCTTAAGACACTATGGAACTCCACCCAGAAAGGATGTATGGAACCCACAACATGCCACTGTGTCACCTGGAATCGGGCAAGAACAGAAAAATAATACTCCATTGTTTTCACATCTTAAGGAAACAAAGAGAGTGAAAATGAATGAAAAAGGAAAAGATAACCACTTTCTTTCTCTCACATACAATCAGTTAGGTGAAGAGAATTATTCTCAGACTTCCTTATGTCTGTCAGTAACAGGATAAAGCTGGTATTTTCACACTTTGAGTATGGAAGTGAAACAAGTGTTTCGTTATATTATAATAACCAAGAATTTGGTACAGTTTTGAGTTTAGAAAAAACGTTTCATATTTACTTACATTTTGTTTGCCAACCTCAGGGATGAACAACTAAGACAAGCGCGATCTCCCAAGTTACCTAGGAAAATACCAATTATTAGCATTCATTCTGAATTCAGAAAAACATTTATCCACATAGTGAATTGTACACAAATGTGATTTAAAAAGACCAGTCTTACTAAGAAGCAGCTACCAGTAAAAACAAAAGAAACTGCTGTTATGCAACTGGATTTTTATTGTAAGCACATTCACATTTGGGATGACTGTTCATCTCAAACATCCTAGAAAGAGGAGCTTTTCCTTTGACAATCACAAGTGAAGTACTGAAGTCCCAGAATCTCATCCTATTCCAACAGGCATCAAAGTTCATGGCATGTTCTCCACATTTCTCTCAATCTACCACCTTCTGACTCACACAAAAAAAATGGAAAAACAGGCAGGAAGCCCTTCTGTAACATGGCTGACATCCCCACACGTGTGAAAGCAAAATGCCCACGTATGCAGCCAAACTTTGTGGAATGCAAGGTAATGCATGACCTTGTTCAATTGCCTGACAGGTTTCTGAGTCCTTTGGACAAACAACTGCAACTCTGAACAACCTCACTGAAAGCAAATGCAGCTTTTGAATGACTCCACAACAACACAGCATTAGATAACCCGAATGGATTACCACCTACTACACTACTTCTAGTCAATCCCAAGCGATGGTAGGGTTTAAGAGCCGTTTTCAAGGTTACTGGTCAACTTTTCCAACATCAAAGCTAAGATACAACCTGTAAGAGAAACCGAAGTAGAGGAAGTCACACCTGAGAAGAAGTACCAAATCTGACTGGCAAAAGCATTACCCAGCAACATAGCCTCATAGCCTAATTATTACAGGAAGAGAATCTCCAAAATCGGGTAGGGACCTCAAAAGGCACAACGGAAGGAGAAGAGAGGGGACCAAAAAAAAAAAAAGTTGACTTACCAAAGAACAATCACTGGATGCATTGTGCTAACTGGGCTTTGATGTCATTAAAGTTATGGCATTAGAAAGTCAAAGGGAAAAGATTTACCCATCTCAAGTTATATGAAACAGACACTTGCTGTCACTACAAGAAAGAGTCAGGGGAAAGACAGCCCTTCTGGCTCACAAACAAGCCCTGGGAACCTGTGAAGGCATTCTGATCAGTGGCTGAATTCCTCGACCTGAGAATCAAGCCCTATCAAAAAGGCGCTCCTAAGAACAGCTGAGCAAGCCAGCAGCATTCAGGATCTTCACAGATGAATCCCAAAACCATATGTTTTTCTGCCTCAGTGCCAGGAAGTACACAAAGGACATGTGTAAAAAATGAGAGTCCTACTGGCAGAGGGCATTATCCTCTACAGACAGGTGCTCACAGAACAAAGAGAGATGATGTGGAAAAGATCAAAGTTGGCTTTAAGTTTCTGTGATAAAACTCTGTAAGAGCAAGATGCTTTCATTTAACTTTATTTGTCTTCCAGCTAGGACTCATTAATTCCAAGGAAAGGGCAAAGAACAAAACTCCATAGTTACCATACAGAAGAAAACATGCTGACTCCAACGACTCTTGTCATATTGCCATTTGGAATGTGAATGGGCACACGGAAACACGAATGTCACCTCACCAGAGAATTCTAGAGAATAACTTCATTTGAACTTGGCTAGTTTTGACTACAAGATCTCTATATGTTACACTGAATCTATGTTCTAATCGCAGTACCTGGGAGCAACCCAGCCCTGAAGTGAAATACTTACTTTCTTCAGAAAAGAGCAAAGTCCATGCTTCTGGCCTCAGGGGTAGTACAGAAATCCAGACATGTCTGAGCAAGATGAATATAGCTCACCATACTCAACACTGTTAACTTAAGAAATTTACAATAGGATGAGTTGCTTGGGAAGTAGGGAAAGCGAGTGTCAGAAAAGATATGCATACACATATTCCTTATGGAAAAAACGTCATCAGAACGCATTAAATGTAATAAGACATTAAAATGAAAGCTTGTAATGTAGAATAGCTGTGTTCTGTTATTGCAGTAATGGGTTTGCTGACAGGAAGTAAGTCCCTACAAAGTGTAAGCAGCTTGATCTGTACAGGAAGAACATTTAGGATTCCTAGAAGCACTTAGCTTTAACTTAATCTTAGATTACTGACATGTAAAGCAAAGGAGATGAGGTAAGTAAAGCAAAACACCACATAAAACCCACTCTGAGACACAAGGCACTGGAACAGGCTGCTCAGTGGACTGGCAGGCACTGTCCCTGGAGGAACTCAAGAGAAGTGGACATGTGGCACTGAGGGATGTGGTGGAGATGGGTTGATGGTTGGACTGGACAACCTCAGTAGTCTTTTCCAACCTTAATGATTCCATGAAAAAATGACACCATAACATACCATATTAATAATGGATTAATGCTCCATTAAGAGTACTGAAGATACCATAAGCACAAAGCATTACAGCACAAAAGCTATCCGATTTTACCACAACATTCCAGCAAACGATTTCCTCCAGGATGAGCTTTCTAACAAGCAAGAAAGCAGTGACAGCTAAGCTCTCCTCACCCCACAGCTAAACCCTGGCCGCTCCAGATCCCGTACGTAAAAAGCAGGCGTGAGGCTGACAGACGTCACAGGGCATCAGCTGCTCCACGTCCTTAAACCGCACGGTGCTGAGATATTTCAGCTGCCAAGTTATCTCAGTAATAGAAACCGTATCACGCGTATGGCTGAGCTTCTTTTTTGTTTTCCACCGCCTTCAGAGCCACCCGGATGAAATCGAACCAACACCGCCTTCATAACGTGAGGTAAGGAAGGTGAGATGGGCGCAGCGCTGAGAGCAGCACCTCGCAGCCACGCCGCGCTGCGAACGGGGCAGCAAGGCCCGACGGCAGCGGAGCGAGCCCGGCGCGCCCGGCCCTCCCTCAGGCCCTGACGGGGCCGGACGCCCTCAGCGCCTCACGTCCCCCCGCGCCGCGCACCGGGCCCGGCCCAGGGCCGCGACCACGAGCCCCCACAGCGCCTCTCCCTCTCCAGCCCTCGCTCCCTCCTCAGCCCCCCCGGCGACGCAGGGCCGCGCTTCCCTCCGTCCGCCAGAGCCTCACCCAGCGGGGCCTGGCGGCGCAGCGCGCGGGGCAGGCGGCAGGCCCGCCGGCCGCAGCTCTGTAGCAGCATGGACGCCATCTTGGCGCTGGGCGGCTATCGGCGGGCGGCCGGCCCGCTCGTGTCCCGCCGCACGCTGCGCGCCCCGCTACGCCCGGCAGCGCCCAGCCGGCTCGACCGCATAGCGCCACCTCCCGCCGGAGCTGGGCACGCCGGGAAGTGTAGTTCTCGGAACGCGCGGCATGCCGGGAGCTGTAGTCCTGGGTGCTGCGCTGGCGCCGATCGGAGAGGGCGGCGGCGGCGAGGCGGGGCTCAATGAGGGGACCCGGCCCCGCGGCGGTGATGCGTGTTTGGGCGAGTGAGCCCCGCCGGGCTAGGCTAACACCGCTGCTCAGCAATTGGTCGTTTTATTGAGCGCGTGTGTATCGCAGGATGTGACGGGAAAAAAGCACCTGTCTGCGGAGTGTTAGGATATTTTAGAGCTAAAATTGTACATAAAGCAACAGCCAACAGCGGTGCTTTGCTAGGGCTGGCTGCAGTCAGATTCCTGTTGTTCCACACACACAGGTCTGCTTCTGACCGGTGTGAGCATCTCTTACCAAATACCCACGTGCTCAGAACAGCATAAATTGTGCCATTCGTTTTGCTTAACCTTTGATCACAGAGACACAGGGAACAACCAAAATCAAATGGCAGAAGTGATCGTTTAACGTGAGAATAATGAAATGCTAAAAATGAGGCGCGTGAAGTTTGGGTGGAAAATGGGGGCAAACCTGCTGCAAGTTTCTCTACAAGATGGCTGACACCACCGGCAACAAGATGGCTGCCTCAAGGGCTGCTCTGAACCCACAAAGGTTCTGCTGCTGTGGACCTCTGGCATTTCACTTCTGTTTATAACACCGGGCAGTTGTTCACCTATACACACACCAAAGCCCTGAGGAAAACAGGGGCTCTGTTTCTTTACCTGCAAAGGGTGGCAGGATCGTCAGGATTGACCCAAAAGGAGACTGGCTGAAACAGAGGAAAAAGCAAATGTGTCTGAAGTCGTCCCTTTATTCCGAAGACTTGGAAAATGCGGGAAATTGTTGATTTTTAAAGTTATTTTTGTGTATTTAAAGAAAATCATCAGGGTTTCTCCTAAATACGAACAATTAAATAAAATTTATGTTGTTTATACGCGCGCATCAGTACAGGTTAAGGGATGACCTGCTGGACAGGAGCCCAGCAGAGGAGTGGGGTGCCCTGATGGACAACGGGTTGGCTGTGAGCCAGCAGTGTGCCCTGCCAGTGGTATCCTGGGGTGCATTAAAAAGAGTGTGGCCAGCAGGTCGGGGTGGGTGATTCTCCTTCTCTATTCTGCCCTGATGAGGCCACATTTAGACTACTGTGTCCAATTCTGGACTCCCCAGATCAAAAAAGACAGGGATCTCCTAGAGTCTCCTTGAAAAGGTAACAAAGGGCCTGCAGCATCTCCCGTATGAGGTAAGGCTGAGAGACCCTGGTCTGTTCTGCCTGGAGAAGATAGGGGATCTGATCAGTGTTTATAAATACCTGAAGTGTGGGAAGCAATTAGATAAGGCCAGGCTCTTCTCAGTGGTGCGTAGCAATAGGATAAGGGCCAATGGTCAAAGACTTTAACATGGGGGTTGGACTCGATGATCTCTGGAGGTCCCTTCCAACCCCTACAATTCTGTGATTCCATAATTCTGTGATTCATCATATAGAATATCAAAGGATGGAATATTCAATTGACCAAACCTTAAAATAAATCAAGATACCCATTTCTTATGTATCTTTTAACTGTATTGGCTACAAAACCACTATTGTTTGTTCTATTTAGTGACTGTTAGAAATGTAACCAGTATTTATGTGCTTTTTATCAGAGCTACTTTTAAAATGTATAGCTCCAAAACATAATGCAAGACTTTCAAAAGTCTTCTAAGAGTCTGATATATTTAAATGGTTAAAGTTGCTTAAAATGTGTGACATAACAACATTGCTTTATTTTACTACAGCAATCTTAAAAAAAAAAAAAAATCACTAGAGTGGATTTGTAGCCTTCTCTTGTTATTCTTTTTTCTTTCTGGTTGGATGATAACTAAACTAAATGAAATGGGGCAACTAATGGCAGTTCACAGAATCACAGAATCACAGAATCGTAGGGGTTGGAAGGGACCTCCAGAGATCATCGAGTCCAACCCCCCTGCCAAAGCAGGATCCCTACACCAGGTCGCACAGGTAGGCGTCCAGGCGGGTCTTGAATATCTCCAGAGAAGGAGACTCCACAACCTCCCTGGGCAGCCTGTTCCAGTGCTCCGTCACCCTCACCGTAAAGAAGTTCTTGCGCACATTGGTGCGGAACTTCCTATGCTCCAGCTTCTGGCCATTTCCCCTTGTCCTGTCTCCGCACACTGCTGAAAACAGTTAACAGTTTACTTTAACAAAGCTGCTTAATTATGTAGAAAACACTTAATTAAAGCTGCTTAATTATGTAGAAACACTTTATGAAGTCTATAGAACAAGAAGAATATGCTCTGAAGTCATTAAACTATTGACAAGAGCCTTCAGACAGCAAACAGATGGTTACAGTGGACTCAATACACTTAAGCAGACGAGTAATCAGACTCTCAACAGTTTCATTAATTTCAGTGGTATGCAGCATGCCAGACAATGTACACGCAAGCCTTTCAGACCTGAATCAGTTATGTTTCTGTACAGCCTTTTGTTCCAGATTTGTTTATACCTGGAAGTTGTGTGCTTTTCTACCATATATTAAAAGGAAAAATAATACACTCTGTGAAAATTCCCTAAACAAACACAGTTTCAAAATAGTAATTGATTTTGTGCACTTAACAAGTATTGTAAAATAAAGCTTAAGAAAAAAAAAACTATTAATAATTTTCAAGTCGTTGTATGAACTGTTCCCACATGAAAAGGTCCAGTGACTGTGGTTTATATCTGGATTATCCATACAGGTCAGTTTTTGCTTTACAGAAAAGCATATTCCAGTACATTCAAACAGCCTGTAAGTTCACAAGATCACTCAAACACAGAATAAGACACAAAACACACAGATACTAGGATTTTATTTTGAAAAACCTTAAGCTACTACAGCCATTTTAGACCAGATTCTTAAAGCAACCATGTTGTTCGGAAAAATTGTCAGCCATCTTGTTGAAAATGATGTGTTTTCTGGCAGGAATAGGATGAGACTAAAAGGAAGAAACACAAACCCTTTTTAGATGGATTTAATGAGGATCTGAAAATGATGAAAATAAATGCAGTATTTAAACAAAATTAAGGTTATTATTTCTTATTAAGCATCAGCTTTTTTTCCCCCTGCATGTTAAACAGCAGCTGGCTAAACAATTACATAGGTTGCTCCAAAAGTAATGCTTTCTATTTATTGCCATGGAAACCACAACAAAAACAAAGAGCACAATAATATATCAAAAGATTTACTAATATCTGAGCATAACCCAGTGATACGAAAAAAAAAAATGCAAGAATGTTTTATTTGTTTAAAGAGAAATGTACATAAGATTTATAAAGACACAGATTATGCCTACATCCGTGTTTTGCTGGCATAGACATGAAAAGTGGGCAGATAAACCTTCAATTAGAGATCTGCCTAGAAACTGGGGAACACACACCAGTATGAACAGGGAGCAAAACTAAGGTAGCTATCTATATAGGCAGATACATATGGGGAACAGGATTCCCCCATGGCCTGCTAAAAATATTGGTTGGAAGGGGCATCTCTCTGTGTTTACCATAGTTGCCACTCTTTTCCCAAGGTTAGATAAATTCCAGGAAGCAACTGCTAGACCAACTGCTAGATCCTGCTCTTTTTTTTTTTTTTTTTTTTTTTTTGGAGAGTGAGTAGCAGGACCTTCACTCCCAAGTTGCCCTCTAGCTTGTGCAAATGGTTGTGTATCAATAGAAAATTTGTGACACTCCTGCCAGGACCACATTCATTTCACACACATGGCCTCGGTTCCCTATTGCACCAAAGTGACAAGCTGAGCTGGCAGCAAGGCACTGGAGATGAGACTTGGTGCATGAAGGGGAAGGAGGTGCAATCTGTCATGCTGTGGGCTGGAAGTGGGGGGAGGTGGGAACACAATTAGCATCTAATGGGATGAAAGACAGGCTTGCTGGTTCTCTGATGCAGAATCATTTTTGTTTACACAGCCTGATTATACGCTTTGTAGTGATCGAGGTCCATATATGATATTTAAAAGTAGAATTAAGGTTTTAGTCTGCAGAATCTGTTTCTATGGCAATTACCAGGTTGTCTTACTGAATAGATTCAACAATATGGAATCAACCTCATCTGTATTCACCACTGTTCAGCATAAATGTGAAAAAAAGACCTTACTGCGTAGGCAGTTACACTAAGTTTCCACTCGAGGGAGAAAACCAAAGGATTGTTAGTAGTTCTTTAAAAATACTCCCATTCATAATCATAGATATTTTGGAGAGACTCCCAGGATACAAATCCCATTGCTTTCTAAATGTTAAAACCCAAAGGTAAAAGTTCAAGTGGTAGCTGGATTACAGACTCACTCTCTATGAACGTCCAGGTCACAAGTTCATCCCTGTTCCTTATGTGCCAAAACCAAGCAGTAGTGGCTACACATTAGCAACAGCACAGAAGCAGTGGGAGTTGCATGCAGTGCCAGAGAGATTTCCATAGCAGTAATATTGTGCTGAAAACAGTCATTCCAAATCTAAGGATGATTACCTGCTCCAATTCTAGAGAAAAAATGTTTTAAAATATTGCATAAAATTGACCCAAATTGGCCCTGTAAAATAATAGATTATGTGGTCATTACTTAAATTTTACCTGTAGGCAGACACGAGAACACCACTGGAAGAATACGGATGTGGTCTATTTTCAAAGTGAGGGAAAAGTAGTATTTGCAGGTCACAGTGAAAAGTCATACAGATTCTAGCTTTAACCAGCAGATGGAGCTTATGTGAAACAAACAAGCTGAAAAGATGCAGAATCATTGCACAAAACAGTGTTTTGGGTCACTGCAGTGTACAGGACTAGAGGAGGACATGGGGAAAAAGCTAGAATGTTCTGGGCAAGGCAGAAGCAAGCAGAGGAGAAAGGGTAGGCAGTGTTCAAAAAAAAAAAAAAAAAAAAAAAAAAAAAAAAAAGATATAAAATAGCAAATAGCTATAATGTGTA